ACTGATTATTTTTGCTCTATCTCTTGCTTTTCCAATTATCCGAGCATTACTTCACAGAAATTGTTTAGATATTCTTCCATAAATTGCTGCCCATCTATTGAATCAGAGATTTCTATTCACATCAACTCAGTCAGAGTTTGCTTATGGGTATACTAACAAACTCGCGGTCAGAAGATCATGAATTCAACCACCGTCGAATAATTCACTTCTCATCCTTTCGAAGTAGATAAAAGAGTACCACTTTGTAGAAAAAGAGAACAATGAGCTATATGGTATAAATGCCACATAACTGTAAGCATTTTCTCCAAAATGTCGCCTCCTGGCTGATGGCATAGAGACGAAGACCAACACCGCACCATAAGTTCTATGGAAAACGGCATCAGGCATGGTGTCCATCATTGAAAACCGATATCTAAACAATATCAAGCTTGTTTTCCTTCTTTTGAGGTATATAAAATACTGTTAAGCGTCGGTCTCCGATTGGATAAGCATGATGAATTCGTTCTTTCGAAAAAAACTTTTAAATTGTTTGTTACTTCTTGATCTACTATTCATGCAGCGGTTAGTGCAGTGATACACCAGTAATTTATCTCTAGAATTTAATGAACGATGATTTAAGGCTCTCCTGGTGATGTGGGGTTCTAGAAGTTGTGCGGGTGCCCATGTTCACCTCGGCGGGCTAATGCAGTGGTTGCCGGCTAGATGGCGACGATGTCTGTCGTTGACCGAACCTCGCAGTCTGCTTCCCTTCACTAAATGCGTTGACTGGATAAAGGTTGTGAAAACGCTGACAGTAGTTCATTAGGATTGGCATCGCACAGGTACCGTGGAATAACCACTCGCCATAAAATGCTTAAGAAAATGAAAAATTGGAGGAGTGTCGATTTACGCGCGTTGAGTTGCGGCCCATGTACATAGAAAGGATAAGTTGGAAGGATGAAGTGATCGAAGAACAGCCCTACAACAGAGGTGGCCAATGTCCGAAAGTCTTTTAGGGCTATTCGTAATGTTCTGAGTTCCTGGTTCAGGTGATAAGTCATTTTTGTGTGAGGTTTATTTCCGTTTCTTATCGTTTCCTCCTGAGCATTCCTCCTCATTCTCCCAAAAGGGGGCATTGGCAACAGTTTTAAATTTGCGATAGGAGAAAGTGGTTGGTAAAAACATGTGCAGGGCGATTAGCCAGTGCTCTTTAGTATGCACTGGAAAGCGTTAGAGCAATGACCGGACTGGTCGTTATATCAGCTCCTGTTGACCATGTTCGATTTGTACCTGCGGTTCTTTGTTAGCAGACTGTTCTTCTGCACATGTAGAAAGGCTTACATCAGACGACTTATCTGATGAATCAAGGACCATACGTCACACTTCCAATATGGCTGCCTGGAATCATTAAACGTGCCGTATTTAATGCCTTCCATCGTCACTATGGCTTGATGAAACACTGGCAAAACCGGGCTCAAATTCGTTACTAGGACAAACTTTGCTTTTATCGCGAATTCACTCGAACACAGAATAAACCCCGTTGCTTTGGATCAGCCAGCCAAGAGATGGGTGTAATTGGTGACTCGGCAGAATAAGGGTAGAATAGGGATATTCTAGTCTGATCATGCCAGATCGAACAAGGGGTACGGTCATATTGGCCGGTGCGAGCTACCCCCTCCATGGCTTCATTTCGCCTTGATGCCTATTATAGCTGATCATTCACAGTAGTAATTAAGATTGGGGTGTAATATCGATTTCAACTTCTATTGAATCGTTGAGGTCAGTATATATCTTTCATTGATTCCTTCGTTCGTTCGTTCATCATTCATTCATTCAGCCTGCGAAGTCCTTGGTAACTCTGGCGACGACGAAGCCTTTATAATGACCAATGACGGCCGTACCAAGA